AACCCGCCTCTCAAGGGCTCCTTGATGGGCTAGTGAATGGGTCGACCCCTATGGCTGGAATCCCGGAGCTCCCAAGGCTGCAGGGGAGGGGTGGGGAGCTATTTGCCAAGCGGCAGAGCCGTGCCGACAGGTATGTGGTGGAGGCTACACCTGGCGGTAGCCTTAACCCTGGCCTTCGCCCTAGAAGTCCTTCTCCCACGCCTTCACTGCCCCCATCGTGGAAATACTCACCTAACATCCGTGCTCCACCCCCTATTGCTTACAACCCACTACTCTCACCTTTTTTTCCCCAAGCTGCCCGAACTCTTCCCAATAAGGCCCAATCCCAGGGTCCTCGGGCGGCCCCCAAACAGGGTATCAAGGCCCTGGATTTCATGCGGCATCAGCCATACCAACTCAAAACTGCAATGTTCTGTTTTGATGAGGTTCCTTCAACTCCTGGCACCATTTCAGGGCCTCCCAAAACTGCCCGAGTCCAGGAGATCCGCAGATTTTCCACTCCGGCACCCCAGCCCACTGCAGAACCCTTGGTTCCCACTGTTCTTGCCCCCAGAGCGGCTACCACATTGGATGAACCAATTTGGAGGGCAGAGCTGGCCTCATCCCCTGTCACTAACCCAGACCATCCTCACGAGTCTCCCAGGAGCTTTGCTGCCACCCCCAGCTCCTGTGGTTTCCAAGTAGCTAGGCCCCGGTTCTCAGCCACCAGAACAGGGTTGCAGGCTCATGTGTGGAGGCCTGGGGCAGGGCATCAGTGAACAGGGAAGAGGTCCCAGGACCAAGTAATGGAACTTAGAGTCCCAAACATTTCTTCTGCTTTGTCCTACCGGCTTTTTATCCCGCATCGCCTCTTGCCAGAGATAGTGTTCCCCTTCAGTTTCTCAACTCTGTGCTGCTTGCTGCTTTTTAACCTATTACCTTTGCTTTGGTATCTGCTCTATATTTCCCTGCCTCCATCTCTGGCTTCTCCACTCAGAGGTCTCAGCAGTTTCTCTCCCCCCCCCCTCCATTTGTGTTTCTGTCTGTGGGCAGCACTTTAGTGTTAGGCAAAAAGAGCACTGTAAGTGACTATTGAGATATTGAGATCTCAGGCAAAAAGCTCACCACGAGGCAAGCAACTGAACCGTGTCCTGAGCCCCTCCTCACTCCGCGTATGTGTGTATGTGTGTGTTTCTCTGTGTGTGTGTGCGCGCGCGCGCACGCGTGTGTGCTCATACTTTTGCAAATGTGTGTGGCTAAGATCTGCTCTGGAAAGGCATGAATTAACCATATATGTGAGCTTCTCTTGAGGCAAAGATAAGAGGGGAGTTCTTTTCCTTCTACTAGAAGGGCCAGATAGCTCCACAGGGAGTCTTGTGAGGGACAAGAGCTTAACTGCAGAAAAACTCCCAAGAGAGGATGTCTGTAGCAGGGACACAGCACTGTGATGTTAACGAGTCTGACAAGTTTCATGGGTCTGAGTTATACAAGCTAGACCTGGAATAAAACTAAGAATTCTATTTCTTTGGAATTCCGGAAGTTAGCAAGCGGGGTCCTGTGCTGAGCAAGTTAGTATCCAGAAAGTAGAGCTTCTGAACCGCTGAAGACAGAAAAGAGGTGAACAGTGAGAGAGAGTGCATGGGGAGAGTGAGGCAAACTCCAGGAGCAGGGCTGAAATGAGTGACGTGACCAAGAGGGAGACCAGCTATGTGTAAGGGAGCATGGGGGACAGGCTGAGCTCAGGAGAGTGCAAGCATTTGCCAGAGCAACGGTGTGAGGTGTGTGCCGAATGTTAGAGCTGGTGGCTGTGCTACCTCCTGCGAATCTGACCTTCCACAGCTGCAGCTTCTCCTGACTATCTGGGAAAGGCAGGGAGACACTGGGCCCAGACCTCCTTTTTGGCCTACCCTACCCGCAGAAGCCTAGCTTTTGTTCCTGTTCGGCTTCAGGTCCTAATTTCTGGTCCTAGAAGGGTAAGGACTGTCCTTCCATGAAGACCACCACCAGCCACGCCTGCCATTTGGCCTCGAAGTCAACCTTTTCCTTTCCAATACTGGGCACCACAATTCTTTGGTTTGTGCACAAGAATAAAACATATGCCCACACCTTCTGTTGCTGTCATCTCTTCTGGTTTTACGCCCCATTCTGATGGCTTTGTGGTCTTCTCTAGCCCACTGTGCCGATCTCGTCTCTCCTCCTGCCTTCCCATCCCCACACTCTCTCCTTGAGCCTCTCTCCCTCTTCTTCCGAAGCTCATTCTTTTAAGGTGTAGTTCAGCTTGCACAACTGAGAGCAACCGGAAAGGCTCTTGGAGCCCTTTGCCATCGCATTTCCTGGATCCCTGGGGGACGTAGTTATGTTAAATGTTCTCTGGGAATCACGGAAAGGGAACGCAATGACAGGTGTGGGTGGTATGGAACAGACCAGAGAGTGTGATTGGAGACTACCGCAGAGAATCTAGGGACTGATTGGAATGCGAGAAGGGAAGTAGTGTCATTACTTAGTTTACCAGAAGGGGGCATGTTTGTGGCAGTAACCAGTTGCTCCCAAGTTCAGCAGCTGGGAATTCCAAAGGAAGGGTTGATACACCACAGGCTAATACCATGTCTTCATATATTTTGTTTCAGGTATTTGGTCATAGGCGACCAGGCTTTGAGTTTTGTTTCGACAAGAATGTAGTAGTAATAACAAAGTTACCTTTCACTATTTATTTATTTTTTTCTGTTTCCCTGGGTTGGGAGGAAATGGACCAAAGATGAAAGAGCTGGGCAATGGCCACCTGCTGTGGCGTGTGGGGAGGACAATCAGCATAACAAGAATAGGATGGCAGAAGGGTGTGGTCAGGAAGGATGGGGGCGGAAGCTGACAGAGGGACCCGTGCATTCTCAAAGTTTCAGAAAACCACTTCCTACTAGGGAGGCGTGGGAACAAGGGATGGTCGTGGGGTTGGGGGGGGAGGGTGAATGTGAATGACGCACAATAAAACACATGTAAAAAATCAACTTTTGGGAGGGTGAGGGACAAGATTTTCCTGTGCAGCCTTGGCTGTCTTTAAACGTAGGAAGTACTGAGTAGTGGGGTTAAAGTCATGTACCACCAATATATGTTTACTAAGTTAACCCTCCACACCAAAAAAAAAAAAAAGCCATTTCCTCAGGGTAGCTATTAAGGCAAGAGGTACAAAAGCAGCTGGCTTCAGACCATGAGCAGAAGATGAGGAAGTATCCAGGGTATTCCTGCAGCTCCTGCGGCGGTGCTTCTCAACCTTCTCGACACTGCCACCCGTTAAGACTATCCCTCATGCCGTGGTGACGCCCAACCATGAAGCCGTTTTCGTCGCTACTTCATAACTATAGTTTTGCTACTGCTATGAATCCTAATGTAAATACCTGGTATTCAGATCTGATGTGTGGGTCCTACGGAAGGGTTGCGACCCACAGGTTGAGAAGCCCTGTGCTAAGACGCCAGAAAGAAAAGGAGTGGGGCTGACAGGCCTTCACCACATCATCGGCTCTGGGTTTGACTAAATTGGTTCCTCATCCTGCCAAATCTAACCCTCAGAGAAAAACTCACCTATTCAAGAAGTCTAAAAGCAACTCCACTGTAAAAATTTCCATCCTGTTTTCAAACTTAGAGCTTTAATCCCTCCGGCCCCAAATACACCCATGGGTTCTTTGGGCCCTGGCCTGCCATGGCCCCGAGTGGCCCACAAATCACCTTTTCTGGTTTTATTTTGTTTCCTTTATCTACTCTTAATCTTACCCGCCACTTACTGTCCTCCTCCTCTCTGCCTCTGCCTTAAATTGCCTCCTGAAATGCATCTTTGGATCTAAGGCTCAAGGTGCAGAGGAGGCACAATCCTCAGCAGACTGATCTTTGGCTCAGACAACCTGGTGGGAGATTCTTGTAGGCCTTCCCCTTTCCTGAACATCAGGCAAGGAGGGCAGGAACTTGGTTCCAGGGTCTCAGTACCCCCTGTGCCATTTGAGCTGCTTGTGCTCATGTCTCTATTAATAACCACCATCCCTCCCCCACTGCCGGTGCTGCCCCTACGCTTGCCCAGCTCAGGTTCTCCAGTCGCTCACAGCAGCTCAAGGCCTCCCAAGCTGCTGGACCCCAGGGCAAGCTGACCACCAACTGAGCGGCTGGTAAGTCTGTAGCTCTATGTATGGCATGAAGGGGCTGGAGCCCACTCTTCTGACCTCCTTGTCTGCAATTGTGGTGCTCCATCCCAGAGGAGTGGCCTCGCTCCTCATCTCTGCTCAGCTCCCAGCTGTCCAGTTGGAGCCACAGAGTTGGAAAGAAAGGGACCTAAGGAGTTGGGAGGAATCTAGATGGGCGGGGAGGTACCTGAGAGATGGGAAGGAGTAGCCTGAGACCCCTCTAGAGTGTAGTTGCGCTTATGAAAACAGAACTCCACAGAAAACTGCATGCTTGTTAAGAAGAGAATGAAGTCCCTAGCTTGTCCCCTCCACAGCCAGATCTTATCATTATGTTTCTGTCCTCCACAATTCTCTACTGCTATGTTTGTTATTGCTGAACTGACATTTTGTCAGTACTCAAGTGCCCTCAGTTCACTCTCCACCCGAGGTCTGCAGCTTGGGATAGGAGTGCCTGAAGGAGCAAGGAACACACCCATGACCTCTCAGGCCACGTTCCAGTTGGCCTCCTGGAAGAACAACAACCTCTCCTTCCTATGGAGAATGTTTTGGCTGAATCTCCTCAACACCAGCAGAACATTTCTTCATCCCCTTGGGCTTTGAGGGAAGCTGAGGAGGAGAGCAGAGTCTGGAGCCATAGCTGTAGGCTAATATCTGAATATATAAGGACCTTAAATTTATGCCAGGCCCAGGAAACTTGGCTGCACTGCTCTGCCAGGGTTGCTGTCTTTTACACAGCTCTCAGCCCCAGCTCTGCTCCTGCTCCCCACACAGGATCTATAGAAAATGGGCACAAGAGGTTGATAACAGGGAGGGAAAGGGGCGCAGTTCTACCTCCTGCTTTGATTCCAAAGAAAACAAGCCCCAAGGCAGTGGAGTTTTACTTTTTGGGGGAAAACACGTTTCTGTGAAAACCTGAGAGTGGACAGCATAGCCCAGTGATGGAGAACCTGTGTGGCATGCGTAAAGCCTTGAGTTCAATCCTCAGCACTGGAGAAGCACACACACACACACACACAGTCCCAAGACATTTTGCCCATAACCCCAAGTTAAAGAGTACTAAGCCTGGAAGTGGTGGCACATGCCAATTTGGGGGGCAGAGGTAGGCAGATATCTGAGTTTGAGGCCAGCCTAGTCTACAGAGCAAGTTCCAGGACATAGGACAGCCAGGGCTACACAGAGAAACCCTATCTCAAGGAAGAAAGAAAGGAAGGAAAGAAGGAAGGAAGGAAGGAAGGAAGGAAGGAAGGAAGGAAGGAAGGAAGGAAGGAGAGAAGGAGAGAAGGAAGGGAAAAACAGAAAGAGAGAAGCACTGCTTGGCTGTAGTGAGCATGCTCTCCACACTCCCCTTCCCCTTCAAGCCTGCTTCCCACTCCTTCCAGGTCAAATCCATCTCCACCATGCCTCTCTCGGGAACCCCGGCCCCGAACAAGAGGAGGAAATCCAGCAAGCTGATCATGGAACTCACTGGAGGTAGGGCATGCTTGTAGCTCCCTAATGCAGGACTTTTAAGTGCACCCCTGACTCAGGAGTCCCAGAAATTACATAAGACTGGTTATAAGTCCGAGTGAAAGTATAAGAGGAATTCCAGCCGTGTGGGGGTGTGGGAGATAGAAGTGATGAGGGAAGTAAGAAGGGCAAAGAGAAAGAGGCAGGAAGAACTCTTTCCACTGACTGCTCCGAAACAATACCCTGCTACACAGCTCAGCCAGGCCCAGGACCACAGGACCATGCTCAGTGAGGTGTATGTGAGGACACAAGCTAGGCCGCACCAAATGGTTAACTTCTTCCTTTCTTTCTAAGTGCTAGAGAACTTGTGTAAGCATTTAAAATAGGAAACTGCACAGGCATACTCCCCAGGGATGTACATGAGTTACCAAACGTGAAGGTCTGATACCTCTGGAGCCAGAGTTCACTGAATCGCAAAGGAAGGAAGAACACAAGGATCTGTATTTAGAGATGGGCAGCTGCACATGGTGTTGGCCTATCAGCTTCCTCTCCCCATGCTATAATTTCCCCACTGGCAGAGTCCATGATAGTCCCTTATACTTGTTCTCTTTCATTCCAAGCCCATGCCCCTCTGGCCCTGTTTACCTCTCTACCCTAATATTCCGAACCCTTGTTCCCTTATATTCTCCCTAACTCCAAACCAGGAAATCAAAAGTTCTCTGGTCCGTTTATGGTGGTGCACGCCTTTAATCCTAGCACTCAGGAGGCAGAGGCAAACTAATTTGTGAGTTCAAGGCAAGCCTGGTCTAATAGTGAATTTCAGGCCTGTCAAGGTTACATAGTGAAACCCTGTCTCAAACTCTCCCTCCCTCCCCTCTCCCCGCCCCCCCACAGGCACATACACGCACTTCTCTCTCTCTCCCTCTCTCTCCACACATGCACACACACACACACACACACACACACACACACACACACACATCCCACATGGGACTGAAGAAGAGGACCCAAGTTCAGTTCCCAGTACCTATACTGTGGCTCCCTACTATCAGTAACTCTAGTTCCAGGGGATCTGAGCCTTCTTCTGACCTCTGTGGGCACCAGGCCACATGCGGTACACATAACACACATGCAGAAAAAAAATACTCATACACATAAAGCATAAATAACTCTTTTAAAAAATTAAAATATACACAAATAAGACAAACAAAAACTTCTTGTAATCTAGATAGACCTTGGTCAGATAACAGCATCTTGTCCCTAAATGATCTCTTTGATTATGCACTTAGTTGTGGGGTGGGGTTCTACTGAGTCCAGATAGCCTTAATTCCCTCTTTCTCTTTCTTTTTTTTTAAAAAAATATTTTATTTATGTATTATGTATACAATATTCTGTCTGTGTGTATGCCTGCAAGCCAGAAGAGGGCACCAGATCCCATTACAGATGGTTGTGAGCCACCATGTGGATGCTGGGAATTGAACTCAGGACCTTTGGAAGAGCAGGCAATGCTCTTAACCTCTGAGCCATCTCTCCAGCCCCCTGTTTCTCTTTTTATTTATTTATTTATTTATTTATTTATTTATTTCGAGACAGGGTTTCTCTGTGACTTTGGAGCCTGTCCTGGAACTAGCTCTTGTAGATCAGGCTATCCTTAAACTCCCAGAGATCCGCCTGCCTCTGCCTCCCGAGTGCTGGGATTAAAGGCGTGCGCCACCACCGCCACTAATTCCCCTCTTCTTCACCTTCTGAACAAGGCGGACGGGAAAGCTCGGGCCTGAACCTGGGCAAGAAGATCAGTGTCCCAAGGGATGTGATGTTGGAGGAGTTGTCACTACTTACCAACCGAGGCTCCAAGATGTTCAAGCTGCGGCAGATGCGGGTGGAGAAATTTATCTATGAGAATAACCCCGATGTTTTCTCCGACAGCTCTATGGTGAGTGTGGACATGAGCCACTCTCTCACAGCCCAGTGCCTTTCCTGACAGCTGCTCAGCAGGCCCCAGGCTCCCCAAAGTCCACCAACACATAATACATTCCCAACAGCTCTAGTGGGTGTTACAGTCCATTTCTGAAGCTTAGTGCCCATCTTAGAGTCAGAGCATGCTGAGGAGTACTGCACCCAGAGGAAGAAAAGTCCTCCCCAGTGGGGATAAGTATTTTTTTTAAGTTTTTTTTTGTTTTTTAAGTATTTATTTGTTTGTTTATTATGTATACAGTATTCTTCCTGCGGGCCTCATTACAGATGGTTGTGAGCCACCATGTGGTTGCTGGGAATTGAACTCAGGACCTTTGGAAGAGCAGGCAATGCTCTTAACCACTGAGCCATCTCTCCAGCCCAGGGGATAAGTATTAAAATAGCATTGCCAGATAAAATATAGGATACCTGGTTTGAAGTTATTTTGAAGTTAAGATACAATAAATATTTTTTTTTAGTAAAGTCTGTTCTTTGTAATATTGGGGACATAAAAATAAAACAAGAATTAAAAACTACAGAATCTCAGGGCTGACTGTATAGCTGAGTGGCAAAGCAGGTGCTTAGAATGCATGGGACCCTAGGTTTCATTTCCAGTGTCCCCAAAGCAAACAGCAAGCCAACAAAAATCCAAAGAGAGTACCTAGTTAAATTTGACCTCCAGGTTTATACAACGAGCTGGGTCACTGAGGAGACTTAGGGAGGAGGATTACTAATGAGTATGAGAAAAGTTTCTGTAAATATGTTACCTGTAACATGTAAGACTTTTTTTTTTTTTGGTTTTTCGAGACAGGGTTTCTCTGTGGTTAACATGTAAGACTTTGGACATAAAAACAATACAAGATTTGAATAATAAAATAAACTGGTTTATTATTAGGTTTTTTTTTTTTAGATAGACGCTTACCATGTAAGTCTGGCCAGCCTGGAATTATGTAGACCAGGCTGGCCTCAGACTCACAGAGCTCTGCCTGCCTCTGTCTCCTGAGTGCTGAGATTAAAATTATATTTTAAATTTAAAAACACAACACATACTTTCTTAATGTATACATGTTCCATTAAACACATAAGGTGTATTTATACTAAAAATATTGTTCTATACCCGAACATAAAATTTAAATGGTAATCTGCCCAGCACTCAGGAGGCAGAGGCAGGTGGATCTCTGTGAATTTGAGGCCAGCCTTGTTTACAGAGCTAGTTCTAGGACAGGCTCCAAAGCTACAGAGAAACCCTGTTTTGAAAAAAAAAAAATGAAATGAAAGTTTGTAGTCTGCAATTTGTTAAACCTGGCAATGTGAGACGAGCTTAATGAGTTTTTATAGCTATCTTTATGTTGAATAAATCTTTTTTTTTAAAGTTCAGTCTCCTCTTTAAGGATGCCAGAGAGAGGACTAAACCCTCTTTCATTAAGACCACACATCTTCTAGTCAGGCTTCTCCAAAGAAAGAGAAGAAGGGATGGGAGAAAGGCCAGGCACAGGACGTTACAGCCTAGGAGGAGGCAATTGGTTCCATTTTCTCCTTCCTCCTCCACCTTCTCTGGGTGGCTGGGGGACGGTGGAAATAGACGATGCAGGGATGTGGCCAAGGCAGGAGTGTCTGTCATTAGCCCTTATGCAGAATTAAAGTCAAAGTGCTGAGTGGGCCATATCTAACTTTAGCAGACCCTCCTCTCGGCTGGGTCTGGTTACAACAGGGTGGAGCATGGGACTACTTGGGAAGGTAGGCCTCCTCAAGGAGTTTGTGGGGTTATTTTTAGGCTTTGGAACCAAAACTCGTGTTGCCCTTTTGGCCACCCTCCCCTGTTTCACCTGCTACAGTTTCACTGTGAGAAAGCTCTGGATAGGGAGGGAGGAGTAGGGAAAGACAGTTCTCACTGCGGGGCACACTGAGAGGGGAAGGGACAGAGATCTTTTTGCTTTTTTTCAAATTAAAATTGGCTTCTCCCTAGAAACTCATCCTTGCAGTTTCTTGTTGAGGTTATGTCTTTGTTTGCTTTGCCTTGTCAGGATAGGAAGGGGGAGTGGAAGATGAGCTGCCTTCCCCTGGGGTATAATTAGGGAATAAAACCTCTAGAGGAAAGTAATTCCCTCAGGCTGACGATCTTCTATGCAGTTATTAGAGAAGATTTCTCTCAATTTGAGATCTTCTGGCCGGTCATTGACTCCAGTCACCCCTACCTGTCTGAGTACCACTGTCTCTGTATTTCACATACCCATTGCTTACCTTCCTCCTACTTTGTGTTTTCCTTCCAGGATCACTTCCAGAAGTTCCTTCCCACGGTGGGAGGACAGCTGGAGACAGCGGGCCAGGGCCAGGGGGTCTCCTATGGCAAGGGCAGCAGTGGAGGAGGCCAGGCTGGGGGCAGTGGCTCTGCTGGACAATATGGCTCTGACTACCACCATCATCAGGGCTCTGGCTTTGGAGCTGGAGGTGCAGGTGGTCCTGGGGTCCAGGCTGGCAGAGGAGGAGCTCCTGGCACAGTAGGGATTGGAGAGCCAGGAACAGGCAAGCATTCTCACAAATATCTGGGCTCTAGGAATGGGACCTATTTGGGGTATGGGAAGAGGGAGAATAAGACATCTTGGACCCGGAAGGTATCCAGGATACATCAATGTGTCTGTTCCACCCACAGCCTTATCTTTAAGGCTTTTTTTCCTGCCTTCTCCGATTTAGTCACAGATTTCACCCCAGACTACCATTATGTTATAAATCACATACAATTCCCAGGATGTTATACCTCTGGCTTCTAGCCTCAGCAACTTCCCTAGTGGTGGGATACGGGGTTAGCCTTCATTACTTGCTAATAATAGCGGCTATTATTTGATTTATGTTCTCTCTCATGGCTTCCAGGTGACCAGGCAGGTGGAGAAGGAAAACATATCACTGTGTTCAAGACTTATATTTCCCCATGGGATCGGGCCATGGGGGTTGACCCTCAGCAAAAAGTGGAACTTGGCATTGACCTACTGGCATATGGGGCCAAAGCTGAACTCCCCAAATATAAGTCCTTCAACAGGTAGGGTATTGGGAAGACATATTCCACTGTGTGGTATTTGCTGTGTTTTACTTGGTATGGGATGATAGATAGCTAAATGTTTCAGAAGACTACAGGGATATGGGATCTTCATGGAAGATCTCTGCTCTTTTGCCTCTTGTAGCAATGTGGTAGAGGAAAGATTTGTTGGGAAGCAAGATCTGTGTTAGTTCACTGGTCAGCAGTTTTGGCACTGCTTTTTTGAGCTTTGGTTTCTCTGAAGGTAAAATGGGGTTAGCACATTTTGTGGTTGGAGGCTTCTTCTGGCTCCCACACCATTCAAGGTGACGATCTCATTGCTCTTCCTACAGGGTACTTCTATTTTTCTATGCCCCTTTCCAAGTTACTGTTTTAGAACTGGGTGTTGTAGACCATGGATAGATGATCTGTGTGAGAGCAGGCTGAGGGAGGGCTACAAAAGTTCCTTTGCATTTGGTTGTTAATTCCTCCCAGCCGGGCCCCCACTGTCCCTTTGCAGTGAGGGTGGAGCTGAAGGGGCAGAATATTATAATCTAAGATGGTCTCCTACTATTGGGCCCCAGTATTTGGGGCCACTTTTTCTAAAATGACGGTGTGTGTCACAACTGTCCGTGAGAGCACGCACAGTCCACCAGACTCCATCTGTTACTAACTTTGGAGGGATAAGCAAAGCAGGGATATGGGGTGTTGAGAAGAACCAGGAGCAGAGAAGCCATCTCTAGCTACAGTCCCTTAAAACAGAGTAATAGCTCATGGAAAAAGTACTGTTTCTTTTATTCTGATTCTTAATTATGTAACATGTCCCCCTCTCAGGACAGCAATGCCCTATGGTGGATATGAGAAGGCCTCCAAACGCATGACCTTCCAGATGCCCAAGTTTGACCTGGGGCCTCTGCTGAGTGAACCCCTGGTCCTCTACAACCAGAACCTCTCCAACAGGCCTTCTTTCAATCGAACCCCTATTCCCTGGCTGAGCTCTGGGGAGCCTGTAGACTACAGTGTGGATATTGGTATCCCCTTGGATGGAGAGACAGAGGAGCTGTGAAGTGTTTCCTCCTCAAATTCACATCATTTCTCCTCTTAGGTTCCAGTTTGAGAGGGGTGCTGGACAGGATTTCCCAGTTGTTACTCCAGTGTCATTGTGGCAATGGAGGGTGAAGGGTGGGAGCTGTTGCCTTTCCACCCTTCAAGTTTCCACTCCAAAGCATCCCTCCTTGCCAGCTGAGTTCCATCATGTTGTTCCATATGGGATCTGCTCTTTTATGAAATTTCCTCTGCCACTGGTAACAGTCAATAAACTTCAAGGAAATGAACTCATTCTTCCTCTGATATTTGAAGGCTAATGAAAACTGAAACTGATGATAAACAAAGACCAGTTAGAGCTAAATATCAAACATTCATTGTTCAGACCTTAAGACCATACGTGAGCTTCGGTTGCTTACATAACCACATTCATAAAACCACATTCATCAGGTATAAACAAAGACACATCATTCAGTATTACATGAAATAAACTCTCAAGTGTAAAACCACAGGCTGGCCCACATGTGTATAGAGCTGAGAAGCTATTGTACACTGATTAGGAAATAAATGTTGGCAATACTGGTATTCGTTATCTTTTTGTGTAGCCAGTTAGAAGTTAGGAAACACCAGGAAAGGAAAACAGAGAGTTAAGAAAGTGAAGGTTCAGCTGGGCAGTGATGGCGCACGCCTTTAATCCCAGCACTTGGGAGGCAGAGGCAGAGGCAGGCAGATCTCAGTGAGTTTGAGGCCAGCCTGATCTATAGAGTAAGTTCCAAGAGAGTCAAAATTACACAGAGAAACCCTGTCTTAAAAAGAAAACAAAAAAGGAAAAAGAAAAAGAAAGAAGGAAAATAAAAGAAGGTTTATTTATTTGTTTATTTATTTATTTATTTATTTATTATGTATACAATATTCTGTCTGTGCATATGTGTGCAGGCCAGAAGAGGGCACCAGACCTCATTACAGATGGTTGTGAGCCACCATGTGGTTGCTGGGAATTGAACTCAGGACCTTTGGAAGAACAGGCAATGCTCTTAACCGCTAAGCCATCTCTCTAGCCCATGAAGGTTCTTTTGATTTTCACGAAATAAGATCATGTTTAAAGTTACCAGAGGAGTTGAAGAGATGGCTCAGTAGTTTAAGCTCTTACCGCTCTTCTAAAGGACCAGAGCTAGAAATGTGCTACTCACAACCATTTGTAATCCAATTTCCAGGGAATCTGTTACCCTCTTCTGGCCTTTTAGGGCATCAGGCATGCATATAGTACGCATACGTGCATGCAATCAAAACACTAATAAACATAAAATAAAAATAAATAAGTCTAAAATTACCAGATACCAGAGTGAGTTTGGGAATACATATTTAAAAACTTAGACAGGGTTGGAGAAGTTTGGGAATACATATATAAAAGCTTAGATGGGGTTGGAGAAGTTTGGGAATATATATATAAAAGCTTAGACAGGGCTGGAGAAGTCAAGAGCACTTGTTCTTGTAGATGACTGGGGTTTAGTTTTAAGCACCCATGTTGTGGTTCACAACAATCTGTAATTCCAGTATAGTGGATCTGATATCTTCTTCATCCCTCTGCAGGCACCTGGCATCAGTTTGGTGCATATACACACATGCAGCCAGAACAATCATACACATAAATAAATCTAAAAATAAAAAACATATATCCCAAAAGGACTAAATAGGGGACCATATAGAATTGAGAAAGAAGTAGGAGAAACCAGATATAGTGATAGTTTGCTTAGTTCTGTGTGAGCACAGCAAGGAAAAACCTAAGGGATCTAGGGATTAGTGGTATTCAAAGCACATGTTTGAAGAAACCATGAAGTACAATAGGAATGAGTGACAATAGTTCAAACTTAGGGTCATCCTAAAATCTCAGGCTTACTCCTTTATGTAGCTCCCACTGGCCTGTAATTCACTATGTAGACCAGGCTGGCTTTGAACTCACAGAAATATTCGGTGCCTCTGTCTCCCAAGTGTTGGAATTAAGTCACTTTTCTAATTTGTTTTGGCGACTAAATCCTTTTTTGCTTTAGAAACCAGCCTGGGCTACTTAAGATCCTATCCCAAAAGAGAGAGGGTGGGGGAGCATCTTTTGGAGAAGGTCTATGTTCTTTAACCATCTAAGCAAAACTCTGTGTTTTGGTTTTTGTCTCTTTAAGAGACAAGCTACACCCACTCCCAGTGACCCCTGCCCTCCTCCCATCATCTTAGATTCTCTCTGTCCCTCTTGGCGTGCACATGTCTTGAGCCCTTCTCTGTCTCTCTCCTCTTCTTTTCTTCTCCTTCTTCCTCCACACTCTCTCTTTCCTCTAAGTAATAAACATTCAATTCTATTCTGTATGATGTGTCTGCCCATGTCCCTTCTACCCACAGCCTGCTCACACCTGCCAGCCCGCTGGGACCAGCCCAGCGCCTCATGGCTGGGCCCTCCCCAGCTGCTCGGGACTGGGCACTGGGACTGGCCTGCTAGCCCCCCCCCCCCCCCTCCCCCCCCCCCCCCCCCCCGTGAGCTGCTTGGGACTGGCAGCCGTCTCTTCCTGGGACTGGACTGGCTGCTCTGTGGGCCTGCCTGCCTACTGCCGCTGGGACCCGCCAGCATTTTTAAAACTCTGTATGTGCATTTTCCTAAGACGGTTTGTACAATTTGGATGCCTCCCTAAAATGCCTGATATAAGGTCTAGATGGAAATAGTTCATTTAGAAAATGAAATCCAAATAGCATAAGGGAATGACGAGAAAGCCAATAATGGGTGTTTTGGGTAGTGGAGGCTGAATCTCACTGGTAATTTCAGCTAGCCACGCTACTCTGAGAATCCCAAGAATGCACCTAACTAGCAGGAGCATCTGAGGAAGTGGGCATGGTGGCTGCCTTGGTCTGTAATGCTAGCATTTGGGAGGAACAGGAGGATCATGAGAAATTTGAGGCCGGCCCAGGTACAGAGTAAATTCTAGGCCAGCCAAAGAGGGCTATATAGCAAGCCTCTGTCTCAAACAATAGCAACAACAACAAAAACAAAGAAACAGAAAATGAAATGTAGATGAAAGCTGAGGCTAAGGCCTATAATCGCAGTACTAAGTGCTGAGGCAGAAGGATTCTTGAGTTCAAGATCTGACTAAACAACAAAGTGAATTTCTGGATTGGGGCTTGAAAGGCAGAACAAAAAAGAGAATAAATAAAAATTTGGGCTGAGAACTTATTATTTTCTTCAGGTGATCTCTACATGTTGGAATATTCTGAGAAATATTACAATAAAACATACCTCAGAACTATCCCCTCAGGAGCAAAGAAATGGAGTATTTACCACAAAATTTCATCCTCACTGCTTGTAGATGTTACAAATTGGTGGTGCTTCTATATAAAGAAATACAATAAAATATTACAAAAGAAAATATTTTAAGGGCTGGAGAGATGGCTCAGAGGTTAAGAGCACTGTCTGCTCTTCCAGAGGTCCTGAGTTCAATTCCCAGCAACCACATGGTGGCTCACAACCATCTGTAATGAGGTCTGGTGCCCTCTTCTGGCCTGCAGGCATACATGGAGGCTGAATATTGTGTACATAATAAATAAATAAATCTTTAAAAAAAAAAG